CACTGAATTTGTTTCTGAATAGAAAGTAAGATTCTTATTCTTATTCACCCCTTTCACACTATGTGATCTAAAGGGAAATGCTGAGTTGTAAAGACCCATCATCATCAGAGTCAAAAAAAAAAAAAAAAACAGTCCACAAAAGTGAAGAAGTGGGAGAGACTAAAGGAGTGCAGTACACAGGCAGATTGAGTTTTACACATTTTGCCATCTCATTTCATACTCTGATTATCCTCAAGGTAAAAACGGAATTTGATGGCTCGTGTGCAGTCAAGATAAAGGAGTAATGGTTGTAATAGAGCTAGCTGAACATCTACATGCTGCCCAAACAAATATTTCATTTTGGTCATTGATGAATTAGATTGTGAGAGTGATTTGTTGTGTAATATATATATACATATATTAAATACTATATAATATATATCATATTCCATATATTACATAATATACGTGTGTAATACAATATATCAATTATTAAAAAGATACTAGCCCCCATTTTGTTACTATAAGAGCTTTCACTGCTTCCAAAATATTTGCACAGCTTTTTAATAGTTTTGTGAATGTAAACATGCATTATTAGGTTATGTTTACATTACAGTGATGTAAAAAAGTGACTTTTTTAATACAGATCTAATTTTGGATCTGTGAAAATGTCTATAGTGCTTTATTGTGCATACCAGGCCAGTAGTTAGCAATATCTCTTTTACATGAAGTATGCATGCACAAGTTTACTGATTTTCATCCTTCAAAACATATGTGTGTGTGTGTGTGTGTGTGTGTGTGTGTGTGTGTGTGTGTGTGTGTGTACCTTTTATTCCTAACGTTGTCTGGACCAAATGTCCCCACAAATATAGCAATACCAGTAAATTTTGAACTTTATAATTTTGGTCCTCATAAATCAGACAAAATGAAGTATATTGAAAATGTGAAAATGCAGATTGTTTTCTGTGAGGATTGTGTTTATGGCTAGAGGGACAGAATATACAGTGTGTACAGTATAAAATCATTACATCAATGGGAAGCCCCCAAATAGATGTGTGAGTTCAACAGAATAAAGAAACCCATAAAGGCTTGGAACCACTTGAAATATTCATTATTTTGGGGAATGATTTCTTTAAATAAGGTATGTAACGATCAAGCAAATGGATCAAATGCATTTCCAACTACCTCTAAAAGATTTCCCAAAATATTTGACACCCCATTTACACTTGTATTCAACATCATCCACTTGTGGTCAGATTGACAAAAAAAATACATCAAGGTGTAAACAAGGCTATTGTGTAAATAATCCATTAATCTCAGGCTTAACCTGTAACACTTGTGTCTGAAATATCCCAATAATCAATTGATAGCGTATTTTATATTGTATTTGTATTCTATATTGTATCTAATATTTGTTTGGGCAGAATGTAAAGGTCCTAAAGGCCTTTCGACTGTAACATAACCATGGCAGGCAGCGCTGCGCATCAGCAGCTCTGTGTTACTGTACAGTGTGTTTTTGGATTGACATTTGTAACTTGCTTTATTGTCTGAAACAGGGTAAAGAATGTCTAAGCATATGATACATCACAATGAAACCAGTATATACCGATATAAAATAGAATAAATAAAATAAAAAATATCATTTCTGTTCAGTACAGTTTGTCTTCTTAAATTGTCCCAGGACATGCAAGGCAATGTGTCTTTTTTCTCTCTCTCTTTCGAATCTTTCTAGAGCTAAAAGAATGCATAGATAGACACGTACAGTTCACATCTCCTCCCCTAGAGCTAGCTCTCCTATAAAAGACCATAAAATAAATTCATATTCACAATCTCTACCATCATTCGGCCTTCTTCAGTTTTTTTTGTTTTGTTGTCAATTGATTTATCTACAACACGTACATGATTTCGTTTTCTTTTGTTTTTACAATGTGGGCAGAATAAACGGGATCACAAGACATGCCAAGGCAAGTATGACCAAAATAACATGACAGAAAAATAAATCGTGACAAAATAAGAGAATCTGACATTTGAAAAATAAAGCCTTATGATATGACAATTGCTATATATAGATACTTTATGTACACACAAAAGTGACTCGTCGAAACCCTTGTGGAAAAAAGGGCAAGTCTAGGACTACAAGTGGCACGCCAGAGTACAGCAAGACCAAGGTGGCGCGTGGAACGTTTGTGAAGCGCAACCAGGAGATGTAGAGCCACTAATGGCATCCAAACGTGAGGAGTAGATACTGAAACTCAAAAATAGCTCTTCACAGACATCCGAGTTTTTTTCACTAGCAGATTAGTTCCTATTAGTCAGCTATTTTTGGACTTTGAGTCACCGAAGAAGCTCTGAAGGATCTAAGCACTACACTGGGGTTCGAAGCAGAATTGACACCATTGAACTGTTTGGCTCTAAGCAAAGTTATTTCCGCCTCTTGTGTTTTCGACGTCTGTTCTCCTCTGAGACATTCTCTCTTTCAAAGAAACGAAAGGCAATTTCACTTTGGAAATATAAAAAGCACATTCATACTTTACATCTACAGGTCACGTCCTTCCATGTGTGTTGTTGTTGGTGATATTTTTTACCAAGCCTCCTCATTAACTGATGTTGAAGATATTCATGAAGAAAATATATGGTTTGGTGAAAGCATCGATGACTTTTGATGATAAAATGCAACATTTTATCTTCCTTCTTGGAAAAGTGTAAAGGGACATCACTTCACCTTCTAACTTGTTCATTATGTAGTGGCATTTATTCTCTGCAGTTTGCTAGAAACTTGGTTGCGTTATGGTGTTTTTTGTTGTTGCCTGAAGGTGCGGTCACACATACTGTTGTTCAGCAAATTTTTACAGCCAAGACTTACTGTAATTGCCTATTCCAGGCATCTAAAACTTTCCTTGAAGGTGAACTATAATTAGCATCAATTCTAGATGCTACACAATCTGTTTATGAGACATTTAGCAGCTATGCTATGCTACAGAAAATTGACTGAAACACTAAAGCCATTGCACACGAAAAGCTGGGTTTCCAGCACTGTGTGTTAATGTTCATTTTGAAGTGTCACATGAGAAAGGAGCATCGCAAAGCCAAATTTCAAATAAATCTCTTTTTTTTTTTTTTTTTAACATTTTCACAGTCACTTTAGTTGGTCTGGGGCTTGTGTGAAACAGGGTTAACATGAATAATGGGAGATGGAAATAAATTTCCCAAATAAATTCTGACGTAGTGAATATTAAATCCACATGACTCCATTATGTTTGCCTTGTTTACTGTTAGTTACAAGGTTACCAATACTACAGTCGGCCACTCAAACAACTTTACGGAAACGCACCTAATTCACATTTGGGATTTTATTTATTTTTATATTTAGTAAACTTTGAAAAGATTTACTTTACATTAGGGTGGAAACCCAGCTATATATGGAAAAGATCCCCAAGCTCATCTAATAACATTAGTAAAAACTGGAGAGAAACCTGAGTGGGGCAGGATTAATCAGCTATTCTGTCTACAATGGATGCATGTAGACTGTAATAAACGCATGTTTCTCATTCATTCTTTTGACATATGACACTCTTGTTATAAGGCAACGGGGCAGTGGACGTTACAAAAATGTGGCACTCATTAAAATAAGCTCAACCTTGAAAAAAATCCACCTTGAGGCCTTCGCTTTATCTCACTGCTGCTTTGAAAATGTGTTCTCTTCAACTGTTTTTGCACTATTTAATTTGCCCACAAGGTGTCAACACTGAACCTGTCCAGTGTTTCGCAAATGAAAAACAAAAGAGATGTAAGACGAACAACAAACATCTAATTGGCACAAACAATATACGCCTGTGTTGCATGTTTGAGGGAATCAAAACATACCCGCAACTCGATTTTAAATGAGCACAAACTTTTTTTGACGCTTTTGGACAGAAATTGCACACAATGGAAAAAAGCCAAGTGACAAACAAACAACATAGGCTCATTCTGAAATTGTAGCCCTATACACATTTCTGAAGACTAAGATTTAAGTAGCCAGAGGTACGTATGGCTGCATTTCATTTTTTAAACGCTATGAGGCGGTATGACGCCATTCCTTTTCCCACTTACCAGCTGACCACATTCCTTCCTATGGACAGCTTTCCCACTGTAACAAGTTTGTCTTGTTAGCTTGCTATGTACGTTGGCGGACTTGAGACGCAGAGAGGAGTTGACTTGGATGACAGGGTTCAAGTCCAGTGAAGAACGGTTCCAGATAGCGGGTAAAACAAAAACAGAATCCAAAAAATTTAAAAAACAAGTTAATAACAGGGTGAAAATGAGGTAAAATCTGAAACGTGGTAAAAATCAGATGAGGGTTTTTCTTTTTCTGGATTGCTTTTGAAATTGTTGGTTGGGTTTAGGCAAGTGGGTGGGCGGGTGAATCAATACAATTGGTTTGGTCTAGGGAAGGAGGAGGGTGGGTCAGTCGATCAGTCAATCGGTCAGTGAGTGTGTGATTCAGTCAGTCAACACCGTCCTCTAGTGGGCTTACGCGAGAACAGCAGCGAATTGCACTCGCGAGAGAAATTCGAGAGAAATTCTCGTGGATTAGAGAAAACAAAAACTGCAAAAAAATCGTACCCGCTGGGACGTATTTTGCGATCTCCAGAAATGTATATAGAGGTGCATTTTCAGAATGAGCCTGGGTAGCAAACAAATTTAGAATACTTGAGAAGGCTAAGTTTTCAATTATAAGTGTGCAATAATATGCATTCTGTTGCAAGCAATTACAATGTTTCAAATCATCTTTTTGCACCTAAAACAAACACCCACCAATGTGTTCTTTCAAAAGTCCAGATGCTCCCTGAACACCTAGTAATGGCTTGTACTGTTATAAACGCTTTCTACATCACTACACTAATGACAGTAGATCTTAATGCCAACCAAATCCAGCCAAAATATTGCTAATGTGACCGCACCTTACATACACTGAGCATTAAACATCCAAAAGGTATCAAACAGGAATATCCTACTTTAAATCAAATGGAACGCAACCAAGTTTTGTGTTTTATGAAATCCCCATCTCATTTCCATCGAATCTGCTTTTGTGTTCGGCAGGATAATAAAGAGGGAAACAAAAAATAAAACCTTGCTTTTTAGGACACTTTAGGACAGTAGAATCCTTCAGCTCTTCTATACATCCACACTTACATATGATCATGCAGCGATGATGAACTCGATGAAATGAACAAGCAGCCATATTTGTTCTTATATGCACAAACATTCTTCGAATCAAGTTCTCTCTTTGATCAGGCTTATTCTAGATGAGGCGGTTCTTCTAGGTGGGCAGAGCCTGTTGATTTCTGTCATGCTGGAGAGGCGTGGCTTCCCATGCAAATATATGCATGATTGACATCGGAAGAGAGAGAGAGAGGCTTGTATAGTAGATCTGATGTACTTGTGAGTGTGTGAGTAAAGGGTGTATTTTCTTGGCATCAGCTTTATTTTCTGATTTTTCATCCTTGTGATCCTCTTCATCTCCACCATGTGACCGGACAGGTATGTACAGGACATTCGGATAGTTATAAGCATGCAGAGCGTGACGGTGAGTATGTGTGTCAGATCACTGAGGCAGCTCAGTGACGGGTCTCTTCTGTTTGAGCGTGTCGATGAGAGAAAGAACTCCACGTTTGACGCTGGTGGAGACGCGGCGGGTGACTGAATCAGCAGGGGGCGCCTGTGAGCAGGCTTTCTGAGATGGAGGACGCGCCACCAGACACTTCTGATACCTCAACTGCAGACATAAAGGAGAAAGAGAGTCAAAAAGTGAGAGGATGTATGTGTTGAGTATAATAATACAGGCTGGGTTGTAGGGCTGGGCGATTTGGCCTATCAAAATCTTGATTACTTGAACATTTTAACTCTATATTGTACTTTTTATTATACTTTAACTGAACATTATACTTTTAACTCATATTAATTATGAATAATGAACAAATAATTTTATTTTATTTTATTTTTTTGCCTTCATAGTTCACTGACAGGTTTTGTACAGTAAATAAGTTCACATATTACCAGTGAGAGATTTTTTAAGGAAGGTTGCATTACTTGATTTTAAAACAATTGAAAGAAACACACACTATCTACTGTCTATGATTATTTATTAAACTATTTATTAAACTTCAACATTGAACAACAAATTAATCCAGGCCGTTACTGCTGTCAAACTGACCAATTACAAAGCCTGTGCGACGTGTAGTTTAAATTTTTTTGAGAGGTGTGCGGATAAGCGACCGCACATAGGTTGTGCCGGTCCGGACCATATGCGTGCACTCAACATGGATGTATAGACGAATTACCAACCTACGTCACACATGACATCACACGGGTTCCCGGTTGCAAAAAGAGACCGCTGGCAATAGTAAACATGTCATGTTGTGCGGTAGGATGCCAAATTCGGATAGAACACTTAACATTTACTGTACACCACACTGCTTTAATGCCAACTGCAGACGTCTTTAGCTAAAAGGGAGCTGAATGAAGTGACAACCTAATTAAAAATGATGGACTCATGTTAAATCAGGTAAGTTCACGCTATGCTGAATCACACACATTACTCGTTTTTGATTGCAGCAATGATTTCAGCAAAAACATTCAAGCAATGTTAATTAAACTGTGGACACTGAGTAGTAAGAATGAAATGTGAAAGTTTAAGTTATTAAGGTAAAGTTGGTTTAATATTCACACATATTCATTCAGTGACAACTTATGACACACTCCCTATATTGTTTACCACGGCACTTTAAATATTCGGTCTGAAATAACCTGCATGTGTGACTTACAAACAACATTAACACTGTTTATTTGACAGTGAACAATGTTGTACTTTAATAGTCACTGGATGCTAATGGGATTTCGTTATTTAAAGTTTGCAAATAATACTTTTATGAAATTATATTATTAAGGAGAAAGTCTGATGTGCGAATATAAAACCTACTTTACCTTTATGTGTAAGTTCACGTACTCTGTCATGCAGGTGTAGTTTACAGTCAGAATGCAGTAGTTTTGCTTGTCAATGATTGCTAAGGCCTTGTATAACGTTAGCTCCGTCTTTTTTCCTTGTCTTTGGCTAGGCAGAACCTCGGTTTTTAGCACTACATAGTTTTGAATCTTGTCATCATGGAACATTATTTCTTGCACATCTCCACACAGAACAAATTTGCTGGCATTCAAAGACTTGTGGGCCTTTAACTTCTCTCTAGTTAAAACATCGAAGCTTCAATAAGATTGTATATTTGGGGCTGGATGGTTGGCCATTTCGTCACATCCAATATCCATTGGGAGGGTGCTATCCAAATGGACCTGTCAGACAAACGCCACTCACTTTAACGTTAATTTTGCACAATCACTGTGCTTATCACTTGTTGACAAGCTGTTATAATATGCTAAATGCATTATGTAAATAATATATAATATGTAATCAATACACGGTGGCGCAGTGGCGCAGAAGGTAGTGCTGTCGCCTCACAGCAAGAAGGTCGCTGGTTCGAGCCTCGGCTGGGTCAGTTGGCGTTTCTGTGTGGAGTTTGCATGTTCTCCCTGCGTTCGCGTGGGTTTCCTCCGGGTGCTCCGGTTTCCCCTACAGTCCAAATACATGCGCTGTAGGTGAATTGGGTAGGCTAAATTGTCCGTAGTGTATGTGTGTGAATAAGTGTGTATGGATGTTTCCCAGAGATGGATTGCAGCTAAAAGGACATCCGCTGCGTAAAACATATGCTGGAAAAGTTGGCGGTTCATTCCACTGTGGCGACACCAGATTAATAAAGGGACCAAGCCGAAAAGAAAATGAATGAATGAATGTAATCAATACAACTTATTTCTAAGACAACAACAAACTTTGTACCGCATCAGATGTTATTCCCTCGACGTAATGCTAGCGCTCCCGGGTTTTTTCTGCTACCTTGCTGCGAGTGCATCCTGAATGTTTATAAACATGGTAATTTGTCTTTAAATCAGTCTTAACAAGGCGAGGTCCTGTGACTCCACGTGCGGTAGGAAAAGTAATTGAAAAAAATCTGTCTAGAAAAATTTGATTGATTTTAGGTTAGGAATGTTGATTTCGATTACTTTTTGATTAATCGCCCAGCCCTACTGGGTTGGATAACATCTTTTAATGTTGATTTTCGAAAATTTTGGCAGGTTGAGTTGTGGTTTGAACACTACATTTGCATAAGTTGGTATAAGAGAATGATAGTCAAGGGTGGAGTATCCATTTAATATTTATGAAGAATACTGCAATGCTTTTAATATTATAAAAGTCTTAAATGGGCTTTTTTCTACACATGTATTCCATGTGTATATTTAAACATGAAGCTCTAGAAAAATAAAGCAACTAATGATAATTCACAATTTCTTTTCATAATTCATATTAATTTGTTCAGAACTTATAAGGAACAACTACCAAAAAATGTTTTCCATCACAAGAATAAATTTATTACAATAGAAAAGTTATTTTAAATTGTAAAAATATTTGACTTTTTTTACTGTATTTTTCATCATTCTTTTGAATATGAAATTTAATTTAGGGTAGAACCAAAACTAAGTGGTAAGCACAGTGGCCTCACAGCAAGAAGCTCACTGGTTCAAGATCCAGCTGGTCCAGAAGGCCTTTCTGTGTAGAGTTTGCATGTTCTGCATATTTTTGCTTGGGGTCTCTGGTTTCCCTCACAGTCCAAAGTTATGCAGTATAGAGTAATTAAATAAAAAATTGGCTCTAGTGTGTAATGGGAGTGTGCGGGTGTTACCCAGCACTGAGGATTGTACTCTCAGTACTGGGTTGTGGCTGGAATGACATCCACTGTGTAAAACATATGCCAGAGTAAATAGCAGTTCATTCCCCCTGATAAAGCAGGGACTAAACTCAAAGAAAGTGAGTAAGTGAGATATCATTTAAGAAACATTTAAAAAATGACCCTAAATGCGAACAGTTGTGTTTTTCAACAGGCTGTACGATATAGGCTTAACTTTGGTCTTGACATTGTGTTTGAATATACAGTGCTCAGCATAATTGAGTACAAATTATGCTTAATTTGTAAATTGCGAGGTAAGTGGAAAAAGTGAAGAGGGAAGTGAAGAGCGAGGTGGGGAGTAACAGAAGAGTCATGAGGAGGGGGATCGGTAAAATGAGGTGCCAGATCAGATTTCAGAGGTGCCACAACCAGATGTGGCTTGTTCAGGCACAAATTAAGCCCTGAGTACACCCCATTTTGAAAATGAATATTTTTATCCAAGTCTCAGTGAATATAGGTCAAATATTTTGGTGCATTTGAACAGAACAGAATTATTAAACATATATGTTTATTCAAATAATATTTTAGTCGCCAAACATCATTTGGAAATAGAAAGATAATACATTTAAATTAATGCGAAATTTTAGATAAATTAATAAATCAATATTTTGATAAATACAAACTACAAAATTTCAACAAATTTTTATACATTTTTTTGTTTCTCTTGAATTTTGTTCCTTTTAAAATTGTATTTAATATTTTTCTTTTACATATAAATTTGGATGTACTAATTTTAGACTTTTTTTAGAATTTTTTGTTGTTATAATTTCATTTGTTAGATAAGCTCCAGATTTGACAACGGTACTGACTAATTTAATGTATATGCCTATATATAGTATTTTAAAGCTTCCTATAGAAATAGTAATGTAAATAGAAGATTTGTGAGGGGTACACTTATATATGCTAAGCACTGTATAGCCCTAATTTATTGGTCATTTACATTGCGTGTTTGTGACACATTTGACATTTGATGCAGTGCAAAACTATTAGAACTCACCATGCACGCTGCCTGGACAGCCTCTGACACATTGCCAGCATTGGGATCACACCAAAACACATGGCACTCAAAGTGTTGGTTCCCAGAGTCCATGATGAACGCAAAAGAATGCACATCCTTTCCTACTCCCATGAATGACAGGAAACGCACACGACACTCCACTAGGACCTCGTCTTCCTCCTAATGACAACAAGAATCATGCATGAGTTAACAATTTACATATAATATACACAATAAATTCACAAAAACTAGTAAAATGTCTTTGGGATGAACAGGTGAAGAGAGCTGAAATTGCCTTTTCTTTGATGACTGTGACTGTCGCATCAGCTACATTCAACAGCACAGGGATCCAGTCATCTCGGATTGATGATGTTACCAAAGTGTCTATTGCGCCATTGAGAATGTCCATGCCTAGAAAACAGAAACATCTACCTTTGAAACAGGAAAAAGTTTGTGAACCTGAAATTCCACAATAATCAGACATGAAATTGTAACTTATTTTTAACTAAATTGCAACAATAGGCAAACGGATTAGCAACAAAGTGAATACATGGGATGTGAGGCATGTATTAATGTATATTTGGTGCTATTACTAGTAGTAAAAGGATTTTTAAGAAGCATTTTTGTTTGAATTTATTTACAAAAAATAACATTAATTGGTTGAATTTCTTAAAAAAATAGACCAAATGTGAGGCTTCATTCTTTATTAAAGGAAATAAAGCACAAATATATAAAGTATCACATTTTAACCATGTATCTACTAACCAAGCGGAGACTCAAAGGTATTTTGTGGTATTTAAAAATTAATATTTACTCATTAGAATGAAGATAACTAAACCCAGATGTTTTAAATCAAGTTCTGCACATGAAGTGGCTAAAACAACACTATATTTGTTTAATTTAAATATGTGCTGAACCTAAAAACCCATACTGAAAATGTTTAGTACAATCACACATACCAATAATAAATGATAATAATAAATATAATATAATAAATAAATATATTTAATTGTTGGCACCTTTTAATGCACTCAAGGTGAACTTAGAACAAACCAAAGAGTAACATTTTAAACAATAACTCATAAATGTTAAATAATAAATAATAATTATAACAAACACAAATCAGGAATCATTTGTGTAATATTAAATGATTTGAAAGAACAGTCATTAGCAGTGCCATAGAATTATTGTGAAAACTAATACCACATCTTATAAAAAATGAAACCAAGAGGGTTAAGTATATAATAAAAGTAAAGGTCCCAACAATGATCTTTGTGGAACACAAGAAGTACATGATCTGAACCAAATAAACAAACAGTATTGGTAATTCTGACAGAAATCAGCCTATCTGCTATCTGAGATAGTGTTAATGCGATGCTGAGATCATATACATTATGACTGAAGTTAGTAAGCCAATGTCCACTGCAGTGATTTTGACAAGATGAGGCTCAGCAGTATGGCAAGGATGATTTAAATTACTCAAACAATTCATTGTCAAATAAATGACGATGAATCTAGGCTGCAACACATTTTTCCAAATTTTTAGAAACCTATGGTAAAACGGCACAATGATATATTAAGTATAATAGAAATTATTTCGTTAAACGTTTTTCAGAGTGGGGAGTTCTCCAATCTAGAGTCTAATCAGAGCCATGATGTCCTATAAAACAACACTGAATCCACTTAACAAAAGACATCTCATAAGATCTAAGGACAGGACGGAGTAATGTAATTTTACCACAAAATGTCTATAATGATTTACTTTCACTTTCATTTATTTTCATTTCCACTGTTAGAAGTACCAAACTAGTTAACCACTTTTTTGGCACTCTTTCATGAGGGACAGAGCACAGCGGTATTGTGCTTAAAGGATGGAGCTAGACTTGCTACTGAAGGCTATTGGTTTACACAGTCACTTGTGCATACAACAAGCCAAGAGAACAACCACACAGGAAGCATTATTTTTAAGGGTGTATTCACACTAGGTACTGTTGTCTTGAACCGTGCCCAGGTGCCATTGTCCCCCTCCCCTCTTGACCTGCAGTCACATTGAATTTTTGCCTTCTGAGCCCAAGCACGTTACGTCATCGATGATGTGACTGTTCAGTTTAACAGAAGAGAAGCACTCTTGCTTCGTACAATGGAGATTGCTTTAGTTATATTGTTTTATATTATTTTAAGTCATTTGATATCCAGTGACACATAGTCAAATCTTTTGCTGAACAGACATTTGATGCTCATAAATGTTCATGAAAGTCATCGTAGGGTTATCGATGGATTAATAAATCCATCTGAAACAGTGCTTTAAAAGTGATGTTGCGTTATCAGTTTCAGGCTCAGGCACGTTTGCAGTCACACTACAAGCATACCACACCAAAGCCCAACCCAACTGTGCTCTGCCACATCTCTTTCAATCGGGCCAGGGCCGGCCAACTGAACTGCGCCTGGGCCCAATTCGGAGCACTTACACTTATCAAATGAACCTGGGAAATGAGGGTGAAACATGTTTGAGCATGGTACGTATAGCCTAGTGTGAGTACACCCTAAATACACAGCCGAAACATGACACCACAATAATATAATGAGGGTGCACACCAATGAACCATGGTCAAACAAAACTTGCCTTTTCTTTTGACAAACACAATCGAAAATAGGATTTGTGTCCTCCATTGTTGTTTAAATGGCTGTTCGCATGTTGTGTCTAAACCATAGACTGTATAAAAAGTCTTAATGTGTGTAAAGCACCTGAGACACCTCTTCCTCTATAATGAATTTTAGCTAGCAAAAGACAATATGTTGGCCAATTCACATGGGATAAGACATCTCAGTTAAAACAAACAGAAAACAATTGAAGGAGTATCTCTCTGTTGTCGCATGCACACAAGTTATGTATTATGAACATATTATAAACAGTTACTGTAAGTACTGTAAGTTACTATTAAAATCTCTAACAATTAATTAATTAAATTATTTACATTCTGATTGAATGTTGCTAGCAGCCGTTTACCTACAGCTAACTGAACTGTTTATTTCTAAGGGTTGTTGACCTTATGTTATGTGGAAAATGTTTTAACAGTCTTTTCTTAAAATCTAGAGCTCAACTAAATGCTTCAAGTGACTCCATACTTGAAAAAACCTAAAGTAAACTCCTTATATAGAGAGAATGAATGGTCTATCAGATGAGACAAGCATTCAAGGTCATTATTCTTTTTTTTTTTTTTACAAAAAGTAGAAGCTGCAAAAGTTGCAGTTAACTTTGCTCTCATTGTCTGTAATGATTACTGAGATAACACTTTCGGGCAACAATAAAATCACTCAGGAGCTGTGGTAATAACCACTTTACCTCACCTCTCTATCTACAACTAATCCCATTCAAAAACAGCTTAAGATGAAGAACTGTTCCTGACTTGCATGAAGATGGAAAGAACTACAGAAGAAGAACTGTTATGCATATTTGACATTTCTAAATTATTAGACATTAGTGAACTGTAAAACTTCTTGCAACAGCAGTTTTGTATAGGTGATTTAGTGGAAGGTCAGCCAGCTATTAAAATATTTTTTTAATAAAGACATGACAACGAATGTTTGTTTCCTAGTTTCAGCAGGCTGTGTTTGTCTTGTAAACAATCAGATAAAAATGTATGACCAATTTATTGCTTCATTTACTGATGTAAGAAAGATGCAAGAAATCAAACCTATGACTGAGCTGCCTGATACTGTTTTGTTAAGTCTGACCTAGAGGAATTGTTGTTATAAAGAAAAGCAGCATGAAGGTGTTAAAAAGAGAGAGTGAGCATGAAAGCTGTAAGTGCAAGACTATGAAGTAAGTGTATCTGCTCACCTATAGGTCTGGCAACTGGCATCATGCCAACATATAACACCTGGAACTTCTGCACCAGTTCAGTCTTTGGTGTGGGAAACTCTGCTGAGAATAACACACAACATACACATTAATACACACTGGTTTCTCAAGACAAAAAAGCATACACAACTGCACAAGGTCTGGAATAATTGAGATGATAATATAATTGTATTCATTTAGAATAATTAAGGTTGCATTTATTTGATCTAAAATAAAGAAAAAATGTAAATAATGGCCAAATCACAATTCTACCCTTTAGCCCTTTTCCCTTACCCTGTCTCAATTCTCTTTAGCTTGAAGGTGTGGCTGCACAAATTAGTATTTTCAAATTAGTATTTTTTGTCATGATTATGAATTTTTACAACAAACATATTTTTAAAACATTCATAACGGCGTTCATGTTTGAGCATCATGCTAAAAAAAACTATAAAAAACAATAAATTTAGCTATCTATAATCCATAATAATAACTCTTGTATAGTAGTCCCACAACATACTTTCACATCTGACACTCAAATAACCTGTCAGAAAAGTCTAGTGGTTTGCGAATGATCTTTTTACAGTGTCTAGTATAATGTTGATGTTGAGTTTGTCTGTTTAGATGAATATGGCCCCGGTGTAAATGCACAGTACATTTATAAGCTCATTGCCACATTATATCATTATAATAATATGATGTCACTGCCTTCAGTGATTTCCTGAAGACAAATACCAAAAAAATATTGCAAATGTTGGAATAACTACAGCAGTTGGCATCGTCAACCTCGTATGAAACAAGAGATTGCAATGACATATGATGACGTATGGAGGTGTTGTAGTGCTGTGCCATTTCTTAGGGGTCGAAGCCCTTTCCCTTCACATTTTGTCTCAAGGGCCAAGGGGAAGGTGTAGAAGTAAAAAAAAAGTTAAATTTGAATTGGGCCAACATTTTTCTAGTTGAGAGGAAACTAAAAATGTAATTTATTCCTAGGATGGCAAAGATATATTTCAGCAGCCATTGCTCCAGTCTTTGAATATTTTCATTTGCTGTCAGCTACTAATAATGGCTTACAGTTGAAGTCAGAATTATAAAACTCCCTGAATTATCAGCCGCCCTGTTAATTTTTTCCCCCAATTTCTGTTTAATAGAGAAAAAGATTTTTTCAACACATTTCTAATCATAATAGTTTTAATAACTCATTTCTAATAACTGATTTATTTCATCTTTGCCATGAAAACAGTACATAATTTACTAGATATTTTTCAAGACACTTCTATACAGCTTAAAGTGACATTTAAAGGCTTAACTAGGTTAATTAGGTTAACTAGGCAAGTCAGGGTAATTAGGCAAGTCATTGTATATTATTCTGTAGACTATCAAAAATTACCTTAAAGGGGCTAATAATTTTGAACTTAAAATGTTTCTTAAAAAATTAAAAATGCTTTTATTCTAGCCGAAATAAAGCAAATAAGACTTTCTCCAGAAGAAAAAATATTATCAGACATACTGTGAAAATGTCCTTGCTCTGTTAAACATCATTTGGGAAATAATTAAATTAAAATAATTTAAATAATTAAAAGAGGGGCTAATAATTCTGACTTCAACTGTATACCATTATCAATGGTTAAAATATTTTTCAGAAACTATTTTGTGGAAAATGCTTTTTAGAGTATACTTTGGTTTATAGAATGCCTAAAACTGTATATTATAACCATAAATATTTTACCCCAATTTTTTATGAGCAATGTTAGTTTTTATAAAGAATGGTGTGATGAAGACTTTTCATACTTTAATCAACAAAAAAATGCTTTATTACATTACATTCTTTACTGTCTTATTGCTATATATATATATTTACAGTATTTCATTTAACACTGTTTTCTTCTGGGGGAAGTGTCTTTTATTGTTTGGTTGGATTAAAGACACATTTTATGGTCAATATTATCGGCCCTTTAAGCCCTTTTATTTATTCAATTGTATTGACCTTATTCTAAAATGCGGAAGTGCGCCTGTTTTCGCGATTGTCTTAGAACTTCCGATTCAGTCGCCTATGGGAGAAATGACTAGGAATAATAAACGTCAGAAAACGGTCAAACTACTTGCTTTGCAAACAAATGTTTGCATGACTGTACAGACCAAGTAGAATAATATAATAAGAAAATATCAAATTGCAACATCAAGCAGCATAATGAGCAGTTTTTAACGTCAAAAAATGAATGAAAGTGAATGAGACCAGAAGTCTCAAGCCAAAAAGATTCAAATGGCAGCGCCCATTCGTCGGCGAAGAATAAGGTGAATATAGTGCAAACCACTGTTATCCAATAGCTATATAATACAACTACTCTAAAACTTGCTAATAAACTTCTCTAAGTTAAACAGCACTTCGTTTTTAAAAGAACTGAATTTAAAAGAAGGGCTAATAATTCTGACGTCAACTCTATATAACCTTGCTGAGCATAAGAGACTTATTTCAGAAACATTAAGAATCCAATTACTGCAAATTTGGAACTGTTAGTGTATTAGATTTTGTGTTACCTTGTAATGGGACGTCGATGCCAGCATGTGTTCTGTCCTGTAGGGATCCTCCAGCCATAGCTTTGGCATTCTTGCGCTCTGCCATGATCTATTACACAGAAATCGAACTCATTAGATTCTCTGCTCTAAATCAGCAGCCTTAACAGAATGTGAACCTTATTTCTCGCTTCTCAGCTGTACTCTTTCCCCTTCACACAGACCTGAGACTATGAGTAGCTTTCACTTCAATCTAATGTAACTTTTTCATTAATCCGCTTAGAATAGGCCGTTGAGGATAATTCTGTGTTGGATGTTGTTTGTTTAGCATGTAAATCTTACCCTAGAGCAGATTTCGTGCAGACTGGTAGCGATGGCTTTGGCAGGGGTGTCACAGCGGAAAACATGACATTTTAATATCCGGGTGTCCTTATCTCGTGCCACGTATGCAAAATCCCTGTTTGCACACAATTAAAATGAGACAAGATTAAACATGAAGTAAACAGCTGTTTAAAGTAAAGCCCAAACTCATTTGAAGGGATAGTTCACAGAAAATGGAAAATTGGGTCATCATTTACTTACCCGTAATTTGTAACAAACCTGTTTGAGTTTCTAATGAACACAATAAAAGATATTCTAAAGAATGTTGCAAACCAGTAACCATTGATTTCCTTAGTTTATCAGTCAGTGGTAACCGGTTTCCAGCTTTTAGTTTCAGAAAAAAAGAAACTCATAAAGATTTGGAACCACTTGAAGGTGTAAATAGTGAATACATTTTCATTTTTGGTTAAACTATCCCTTTAACTCACAAAATCTACTATTTCCAAAAAGGAACCACAGAAATAAAGGGTGTCACTATACAGTGTTTTACACATTTTTTTATTTGGAGTAATATAATAAATAATAAATAAATAAAATAATATAATAAATAAAAATTGGAATAAAATAATAAACATTAGAAATGTAAACAAAGACCATCATGTTTTTATACTGACTTGAAGGAATTGATTCGCATATTAACATATAGCATCGATTAGGACACTTGGTTATAAACAAAATGAGTGTGAATGTGAAAAGTGTGTTTGTGTTAATATGCTAATCACTGCCCTCAGATACACTGATGGATGATGTGCCCTTTAGATTTAACAGCGACAATCAATTTCAAAACAATTACTTAAAGAAATGCACACCCTAATTTCAAGCATACAAAAAAAAAGGGTGTAAAAATAAAAGTGCTCAAAAAATGCATGCATGCACCTCTCCTGCTGTCTGCAGGTGCACGTGGCTGTCTAAGATGAATGAGTGTCTCTAAACTTACACCTTCAGCTGTATCATACGCATATTCTTACAGCTAAAAATAAACTATTATGAACTAAATGAACGGCAACAGACTACAACAAGACAATGATGAGAATACAAATAACAAAAGGGTAAAGCAATTTACCTCTCTCTGAGTCCCGGTAAGCAGCAGAGTAAAAAATGAAAAACATTATGAGCACAATGATACTCATTATTGAACCACAAGCAAAACATTTCAACAAAATCACCAACTAAACCTTTCTAAAAAAAATCTGCTAATGCCATTTCAACATGATAGCACACATATTATGAATTAAGCATGTTCTGCTTGTGTTTCATGAACAAGCTTCAAAGGTATTTCAATTTTATTAATTAAAAACAGACCAACAAAAATGGGTTTGACAAGATGTGCAGCTTAAAAAACAACTGCTAGAACTTCCTGTGGCATGAGTGTATTCTTATTTTAAGAAAAGGTTCATTTTCTGGCAGCTCTTTATTTTCCAGACTTTGTGATAAGAAAAGCAGAGCTTTGTGTGTATGTATGCGTGTATGAAAGACCAGCAGGTGTGACAAGAGAATTCAGAGATTTTCCTCGATGTATGACACCTCAAACCATGAAGCTCTCGGTGTGTAGTCAGTAAAAGGCATGAATATGTAACAGTGTTATAATTAGAGATCTAACAGACAGTGAGGCAGGGAGAATAAACCCAGTGCATATAATAAAGCCTAGAATGAACCTCAGGTTGCAAACCTGTTCAAAAAGTCTATTTTTCAGCATCTCAGAAGGATTAAAAATAAATAAATATTACAAAAAGACATGCTGGAGGGTCAAGGAGAAACTACAAGGAGGTACAACGCAAATGGACCGAGAACAGAACCCTGAGGTTTCCCTAAGGAATTTGAAAAAAGCCAAGTGCTCTAGTTTGTATGGATGTGTGGGATGTATCAGAGGGAAGGCCTGATCTGAGGGAACACGTAAGGAAGTTGCAGTCTCTTTCCAATGTAACCCATTTAGTGATGTGAACATCTTGCCGTGACCTACTTTAATAACTGCACATGCAGTACTCCTCTATACTATCCTTGCCACAGTAAATGACAACAACGCATTATTAATCCTCTAGTAAAAATTCTCCACCTCCTCATTTACACCATCTGGAGCAATTCCACCCACTCCATCAGCCCAAACTACTTCCACGTTCTCACTCCAGAACTCCTCAACAGAAACTACTTAACAAATGCCTCACTGGATAAGTATAAAAATGCCATACAGTATTAAAAACATTGGGTCTTAAATAAGTGACCAAAAGAGCACAATATTTTTTAAAAATGTGACAGAAAAATACTCACATCTTTTTAAAGTAATGTGTTTTTCCTTGGACAGCATTATGTCGTAGCGCTCTTCTACAGATTTTCACCTCCTCGACTCATCCTCTGCTCTGTTAAAAACATGCAGCTCACCTCTCTACGCTCAATCTCCCTCTCTCTTTTTTTACCCCCTTCTCATTTTCGCTCTCTCTCTCCTTCCATCCAATCCCAGCATTCCTTCTACCCTCCCCCTCCCGTATGGCTTGTCGCTACGCTATAACCTCCTCCGGGGTCTGGTGAGGAAAATGTTACTGATGGGCTTAGTGGCGTATTAGCATTGGAGGACATGATGATCACTTGCAAAAAAATACTTACACATGCAGACTGCACATTATATCTGGGAAACCAAAAACCAAGCCTAAAGCGCAATTCCTGTTAATGAACATATGAAGGGCGCCATCTGCTGCTCAGAAAGTGGTACTGCGAACACTCAGTGAGGCAAAACTGTGATTCAGCATCCGTGATGAAGTATGCTGCATTCAACCCCTGCATCATTCACACACACACACACACACACACACGCATACACACAAACCAATCAACTCTTCTGGGACTAAAGCAGGAAAAGTACAGCTTTTTGGAGAGTGTGGGAGATTTATTTGGATGACCTCACAAACACTCACACACAGGCAGTCCCGATAACGCTGGATTAAACTTTCATTAGCACTTGTCTCTTGATCATCAATCTTTTATTTCTGTCCTCCTTTCACTGGCCTGACTTCTTCAATCCAAAATCATTATGGTGACCTTTAGCGTGAAGGGGCTGGAGGAGCGTCTCCATATCAGAATACATTAGCATAGACACATTAAGTGAATCTCTTATGTGCTAGTGATAATGAACGCATGAGGAAAGTCACAGGTGCAAAGGTGCTGATGCTTGCAGATCTGCAATCTCTAATTAAAATGAAACACGAGGAATTCCAGGCACATATGTTACAAGCTATAGCTTGCAATGGTCTGTCACGGTGCATTTGCGATTCCTTTGCTAATGATATCATATTAGGAAGTTTTTTTGTTTTTTTTTAATTACAGTGTTCACTCAAAATTTAATAAAAGCCTAAACACTGACATTTTATTAAACATTGCTACTCATTAGGTATTGTTATACTGGTGCATTTACAAATATAACCCCCCATACCCCCCCCCCACCCCCCCAAACACACACACACACACACACACACAAACACATGCACACACATATATTGTTTCAGCATCAATATCGCAACGTGTGTGTCCGCAATAGTCACATCGCAGGATATGAAATGTTAAGTTGGGATTATAGTCGATCAACAATTGAGAATAGTGAAAAGTGAAACTTTCTCATTTGCATGGGTTTTAAAGGCATTCAAGAAAATGTAAAGCGATCAGGCACAATAACATAAAACAATCGTAACTTTAATGAAGAAATATTGGTAACACTTTACAATAAGGTTCATTAGTTAATGCATTTACCAACATGAACTAATCATGAACAACACATGTACAGCATTTACTAATCATTATTGAACATTTACTAATGCATTATTAACATCCAAGTCCATGCTTGTTAACATTAGTTAATGCACCATGAGTTAACATGAACTAACAATGAACTACTGTATTTTCATTAACTAATGTTAACTAACATGAACAATTACGTTAGTAAATGTATTGTTCATTGTTTGTTCATGTTAGTAAATGCATTAATTAACATTAACTAATGAACCTTATTGTAAAGTGTGACCGAAATATTTTACTGAATTATTAATTAAATGAAGACTATACAGTGTTATTTTACATTAGATATGGAGTTAACTTGTTAACAAAGGTTCGGCGCCGGAACCACGCCTCACTTTGTCTCCTTAACCAATCACTCACTGCCTGAAACTTATTTAAGGCAGACTAGCCCTCTAGCACTGTTCTTCTTGTTCTCTCAAACCCACCGTCCCTCTATTTCCTCGCTTCCTATTAACAATCCCATAACCCTCTCTTCACTCCTAGAGTAAATCAGGGGGGTCCAATCACTCTACCAAAATACGATACCCCCACTCTGAGTCTCTGGGCATCATCGTAGGACGCCCGATTAACCTACCTTCCTGTTCACAGATTATCATATTACTTCCTTTCCTCTTCATCTTACTGTTCTTACTACTTGTATTACTGTTACCATCCCCTTCATCCCTACAATAAAGGCTAGCTCTAAGTGTGGTTTGGTCCATGGTGGTAAATACATTATTAAATTTCTGGAATGCTGTTTGACTGAAAAACCATAAACAACTGTTAATTTTACTTTTTTCTTTGCTCTACAATAATTACTCTTGCAATTCTATTATTTTTTCATACAAGATTATATGGTGGCTGAGAGAGATTAATGCGCTAAAAACACATGCAATTACAAAAAATGGCAGCAAATTCAAAGCACATAGCAGACATACAGCAAATCCTCACAACACAAACACTAATAAAACGCACTGCATTTTCTCACAATGTAAACAAATGAATAAAACATGCTGCATTTTCTCACAACACAAACATTTTACAAAAATGAGCTGTATTTTCTTACAACACTTCTTAAATTGCACAGAACCCAACGGAAATGTTTCAAGGAGACCCTAAAACATGACGGACCCGGCTATTTAGGTTATGGTTATTTAGGCTAATAAAAACTAAGGACACTTAAATTGGGATATTAAAATAAACAAACAAAAAACTCACCACTCAATGATCACCTACAACATCACTGAGCAATAGTCACGGCACAGTGGTGTCCGTCATGTTTTGGGTCCCCTTGAAACACTTCCGTTGTGTTCCGTTCTTTTCGTGTTGTGAGAAAATGCAGTGCATTTACGTTAAATGTTTGCACTGTGAGGATTTGCAGCATGTGTGCTGTCAAACAGATGAAGGTCTTTTATTAATTTGCCTGTGTTGTTTATTGCTCATGTTTTCTTAAATTGCAGCACGTTAACCTCTCTCGGCCACCGTATGTGTCACCGACTCGGTCCCAGTCACTACCTTCGCTGGCCAGCAGAGGCCGCCATCTCCGGACTTCTAGCATTACATCATCCACTACGCTGATTGTGCTCACACCTGTCCTGAATCTTGTTAACGACCCACGTACCCTTTATAAGCCGCACACAAACGCTCAGTCAGTGCGAAGTCTTGTTTAGCCTCGGCCAGCATTACTGAGCGTTATTTCCTGCCTGATCTCTCGTGTACAACTCCAGCCTGTTTCTGACTCTGCTTCGCCTTCTGCCTGCCCACGACCCAAGCCTGATACACGGACTCTGATACTCGCTGCCTGCCCACGACCCAAGCCTGATACACGGACTCTGATTCACGCAGCCTGCCTTTGACCTATGTCTGGTAAATCCCTCTGTGTCTGTTTACCACCAGTCTTGATACCTTTAAGACGTTTGTTGATGTGTGTTTGCACATTGGTGCATATTGTGTGTTTGAGTGAGAGCTTGATAAATAAATACTGCATAATGGATCCCTCCGTGTCAGTCTCCTCGTTACAGTATGATTCACACCCTCCAAAATCAACCCAACCATTCATTCATTCATTTTCTTTTCCGCTTAGTCTCTTTTCAACCCAACCAATCTAAATTAAATTTTTTTTTTCACAATAGATCTATTTAAGCCATCTGGTGAAATGGTATTCAATATAGAATGTATGGCAGAAAAACTAAATATCACAATGTCAGATTTTTTTCAATATCGTGCAGGCCTAATATATATATATATATATATATATATATATATATATATATATATATATATATATATATATATACTGTATGATGCTGGGATTTTATTAAATAGCTGAGATTGTGTCATATAATTTATATCTTCTTGTACTTTAGTTGCTTTAATTACTTCAATTGTCCTCGTTTGTAAATGACTTTGGATAAAATAATTTGCCTAGTGATAAAATTTAATGCTGAAAGGCAAATTTACTTCCCCTCTATTCAATGGCTTTTGTAGGTCAGCTAATTTTTGAAGAGGTCTGATTTAACTAGTCAGTATTTTTTTCTTAAAGTATAAAGGCAGCGTTTGCTTGGTCACAGAGATTAAACATTATTAGTGTTAGTAAAGGAGCAGTCAGCTGAACAGGATCAGCACAGTGGAAAATGAGCTCCTCGTAAATAAGAAGCTGATGATGTTCTCGGTGGCTGAAAGCTGTAACCGTTTAACCGATATAAAATCCCCTTTTCGCCCCTTCAGTGCACTTTCAAAAAATCATAAACAGACATTCATGAACTAAGAGAATTTTAAAATCACCTCCCACATCTTCATGAATAAAGAGGGCATTATAAAACATTTAGTTTCCTCCAGTTTATCTCTGTCATTTATTAAACATTTCACAAATCCTTTTCCATTGAATATGCTCTCCTTGACTAACACATAAAAAAATGGAAACAGGTGATTACCTTCCATTGTCACGGCCAACGCCCCACACACGGATGCTTGCGATTGGCTGAGAGTGGAGGACGCTCCGATCCATTGGGTCAACCAGATTCAGCATGTTATTTTCCAGAATGAGGTACATGTCCTTCCCCTGGGCACACACAGATGCACACGCACACACACACACAAAGACACGCACAGACACACACACACACACACACACACACACACACAAAATAAACATTCAATTTCAAAATCTAGTGAGCTTTCTCTGTTTATTACCAATAAGGTAATCTGCTTTATATGGAATCATAAAAATGGATTAAATAATATATTTTTTTCCCTTAGATATAAACTTTAGTTTTGAGCAAAAAATTAAATATGTGTAATTTTTCAAACTCAGAACATGTTGTATGCATAACACAAAACTTTTATCATGGTATATATATTTTTAAAGGAATATTTCACACAAAAGTGAAAATCTACTCCTTATTTAAACACACTTTACTTGTTCTAAACCTTACGAACGTACTTTCTTCACTGGAAAACAAAATCATATATTTTCATGAAATTTATAAAAGTGAAAAACACCATGGAGGTCAATAGCTACCATTGTGTTACATTCATCAAAATATCTTCTTTTGTGTTTAAGCTCAATCATGTTTGGAGCAAGTTGAGGGAATTTTCATTTCATTTTTAAGTAAAACTAAATTTTATTACCAAGTTTATTGTGTTACAAACAAACAAAACATTTTAAAAGCATTTAACATTATATATATATATATATATAAATTTACTTAATATATATAAAATATATAAAATATAAAATATATATTTTATATAATATTAAATATATTAAATTACTTAATATATAAAATTACTTAAAGATGACTCTTATATGGAGAATGAAGTCTCGTATTGCTCAGGTGTGATTTTTTTACAGACTTCAACTGAGTGTAAAAATCTTGATGGTTCTGTGGACCTCATCTGTTAAATCTGATCTTTATTTTGCATTTTCTATTGAATTCGGGTCAGGTGATTGGCTGGGCAATTCTACAGCTTGATTTTCTTTCTCTGAAGCCATTTGCGAGTTTCCTTGATTGCGTTTTGGATCATTGTCTTGCTTAAACATAAACTCTGGTTTCATCTTCATCATCCTGATAATATAGATGTTGGGCTGAAGCAGCTAATATTAATTTACAATGACAAAAGGCAGATGGCTGCTGAATAACACAGAGAGATTTCAGCTGCTGTCTGGGCTATCACTGCCATTCTACAGCTGACTTTCTTCATGTGTTTAATACTTTTTCCTGTGTTATTTAATTTTATTACACATAACTTCATTTGTAAACTAATTAGATATGTGTGTGTGTGTGTGTGTGTGTGTGTGTGTGTGTGTGTGTGTGTGTGTGTGTGTGTGTGTGTGTGTATTTCTTTGGTTGTTATCAACACCTGGTAAAAATGTCAAGTTTCAAGTCTTAAATATATATTATTAATGATTTTCAGCATTCAACATTCATTCATTTTCTTGTCGGCTTAGTCCCTTTATTATTCCGGGGTCGCCACAGCGGAATGAACCGCTAACTTATCCAGCAAGTTTTTATGCAGCGGATGCCCTTCCAGCTGCAACCCATCTCTGGGAAACATCCACACACACATTCACACACACACACACACACACTTATACACTACGGACAATTTAGCCTACCCAATTCACCTGTACCGCATGTCTTTTGACTGTGGGGGAAACCGGAGCACCTGGAGGAAACCCACGCAAACGCAGGGAGAACATGCAAACTCCACACAAAAACGCCAACTGAGCCGAGGCTCGAACCAGCAACCTTCTTGCTGTGAGGTGACAGCACTACCTACTGCGCCACTGCTTCGCTACCATTCAACATGGTTTAGTTAACTATTTGTATACAGAGGTCCATAAACAGTGGAGATAAAATACTAATGCTGTCTATGATCTGGAACAGCTTTTGAGACATAAATGCAGCCATTGTGCCTTGAAATACTGCCCATGTAGCAACTCACTAGGTTTTGGAATCAATGTCACAGCTATAAGGTCTAAGCATGGTTGTGCTCGTATGCATGTTGGAAGTAATGAATAAATGATCAGACCAGAAAATAAAAGGCAGAAGGAGAACAGAGGCTCTCTTCCTGTGTCCTGTCACAACACATTAAACTCTCTTTCTTCCTCTTCCCATTCTATTCAGTTGCTTTTCCTGCATGACATTTTCAGCTTCTCCTCTTTGTTACTCTTATTCTTTCTCGCCTTGACTTTTTTACATTTTATCCCCAATTCTATGTTCTCCTCTATCAAAATGACACAAGGTATGTTTATAAACCTTGTACATATTTTGAATGAATGTGAATATGAAGAATACTGAAAAGATTAGTTAAATAGAACTAGTGATGTAAAAATACAAGTGTTTACCAGGGTTCTTTGAGTATGATACACATACTGTATGAACTGAAGAAATGTTTTAACCACTGCACATGTGATATTTTCTTCATCATAATGAATAGAAATTGAACCTTAAACCCCAAGATTTATCTTTTAGTCTATGTTGATTCAGCTTATGCAGAAATAAAACAATAAAAAACCCTGTATAGCAGAGCTTACTTAATAAAAAATGTGTTTTTAATAAAAAAGTGTTTCAACTTTACAAATCTGCACATTTTCTATCAGGAAACTCAAACAATAAATGCAGTTTTAACGGTTCTTTTTACAGTTAAAAGCAATATCATTAGCCCTTTTTGAAAAAAAAAATCAAACATTCTAAAGTGCTGTTTAACAAAGACATTTTTAAAGATAATTCTTTTAATAACTTATTTATTTTGTCTTTGCCATGAGGATTACATATTATTGTACTAGTTATTTTGGGAGACACTAGTATTAAGTGCAATATAAAGACATTGTTTTGTAGCCAGTCAAAAAACTTAAATTTTAAGGGGCTATTAATATTGACCTAAATAAACTAACATTTTATTCTAGGCAAAAAATACAATAAAATAAATATATATATATATATATATATATATATATATATATATATATATATATATATATATATATATATATATATATACATTTAGAGGCTTTAGTACTGTAGGTTAATTAGGGTAATTAGGCAAGTTATTGTATATCGATGGTTTGTTCTGTAGACAATCGAAAAAATATATACAGTAGCTTAAAGGGGCTAATAGTTTTGACCATAAAATGTTTTTTAATAATTTAAAAACTGCTTTTAATCTAGCCAAAATAAAATAAATAAGACTTTCTCCAGAGGAAAAAATGTATTATCAGACATAATGTGAAAATGTTCTTGCTCTGTTAAACATCACTTGGGAAATATTTAAAAAAGAAAAAAGAATTCAAAGGGGGGCTAATAATTCTGACTTCAATTGTATATTTTATGTAATAGATTATATCCTATCCATTATATATGTATACAATATTATCAGACATACTGGGAAAATATCCTTGCTCTGTTAAACATCACTTGGATAATAGTAAAACAATAAACAATTCACAGATAATTATTTAGCTAATAAGTTGCTAATAATTTTGCCTTCAACTGTAAACGCAAAATAAACTTATCTTATAAAAAAATCTCATAATCGCTCAGTTTTTGTGATTGTGAAACAATGTAATTAAATGGCGTGTAGACAATGTGTCACAAAGCATTACATTTAAAGTTTCGATTTACACAGCTCATATAGTTTAGAAAAGTATTTCTGTAAATATTTGCACTGCAGATTATATTGGTCTAGAAATTAGTCTAGAACTATAATTATCTGAACCTGTTATCTTCAATATTTAATGTTTAACGTTAATGTGTATGAGTGTGTGTGTGGATGTTTCCCAGAGATGGGTTGTGGCTGGAAGGGCATCTGCTGCGTAAAAACTTGCTGGATAAGTTGGCAGTTCATTCTGTGGCGACCCCAGATTAATAAAGGGACTAAGCTGACAAGAAAATGAATAAATGAATGAATGAATGATTAAAAAATATTTATATTTTCTATCTGAAAGGTAAAGAAATGCTGAATAAAATAAATAAAACCAACAAACACCTACTGTAGCAAATTCAGTACATCTACAAAAACTCTGAATGTTTAAGTGGTCTCCTAACTATAACAATAAACTGTTGTTGAACCATATCTGCCTTATTTTTTACATGATTGCATACAATTTTTTAATTTAAATGTAGATTACTGCCTGTATATCAAACAATAAATAGAAACTGAACTTTGTGTACTTTTGGACTTTTGGGTTTGTTTTTAATTGAAACTTTAAATATTATAGTTATATGCAAGTATTAGTGATCGCTATATAATTTTTATCTTTATCCTTAAGTAAATTCTAATTGAATTTATTTAAAGGCAGGCATATGGATCATTCATCCATTCATTCATTTTCTTGTCGGCTTAGTCCCTTTATAAATCTGGCATCGCCACAGCGGAATGAACCGCCAACTTATCCAGCAAGTTTTTACGCAGCGGATGCCCTTCCAGCCGCAACCCATTTCTGGGAAACATCCACACACACACACACATTCACACACACACTACTGACAATTTAGCCTACCCAATTCACCTGTACCGCATGTCTTTGGACTGTGGGGGAAACCAGAGCACCCGGAGGAAACCCACGCGAAGGCAGGGACAACATGCAAACTCCACACAGAACCGAGATTCGAACCAGCGACCCAGCAACCTTCTTGCTGTGAGGCGACAGCACTACCTACTGCGCCACTCCTTTGCCCCAGCATATGGATATTAAAAAAATATTTGAGTAAAGCAGCAGAACTATTTCAAACTTCAAAGGTTCTGGTAAAACTGCTTGACTGTGCAAAGATTGTGCAAAGGATTTTTAGAAATGTATTTGTTTCTGTATGTGTGTGTGTGTGTGTGTGTGTGTGTGTGTGTGTGTGTGTGTGTGTGTAGCTGTAGCTCACCTCTCCCCAGATGCCCACAGTGTCTCGTATGTCATTCTTGCAGTAGGACAGTTGACGGATGCAGTTGTTTACAGCGACACTGCTTTTACCCGGAGCCAAATCCTCTTCAGCCATCTCTACCCAACCGAGAGAGCGCACGGCAAAACACTGGAATAAAAAAAACACACCCACTGATGAAACATTTCATTTAGAGAACTTCCTTTTTGCCAAAAAAAAGACAAAAACATATACTTTATTGTTATATTCAGACGGATTTGTAGTACTTTTTAAGACAACACAATACCAATATATGCCAAGCTAACCCTGATTTTTAATGTCAAGAAATTAAAACAAAATGATATTCATTCCTTCGTTCGTTCATTCATTCATTTTCCTTCGGCTTAGTCCCTTTATTTATCAGAGGTCGCCACAGCGGAATGAACCACCAACTTATCTAGCATATATTTTACACAGCGGATGCTCTTCCAGTACTCCAGGAGAGTTTTCAAGTGCTCTTTAATTTCCTTGTCCATGCCTATATATCCACTGTAAACGATTTCTTGTTAAATTAACAGTAAGTTACTGGCAACAATTATCCAGTAGCTGCTGTATTTCATAAAACAGTAACATTACTGTAATACTAATTACTTTAGTATTAGAATTACTGTAAAATGTAATACATCATTTTACTGTTTTCTTTTTATACTGTAACACCAATTACAGTAGTGATACACATACTGCAAAACTGAAAACAGTATTTTACTGTACATTTTTACCATGCAGAACTACGGTATTTTAACGTTACTTTCATTATTACTGTATAGTATTTTACAGTTATTAAATGTTATTTTATTGTATTTAACAGTGCTACTTTATAATGAGCAAAAAAAGTTCAAAAATTGCACAAATGTTATTTTAACTGTTCAAGAAATACAAGAAAAATAAAGAAACTGAAACTTTAACTTCACAATAAAAGTTTATTGTGTAAACCCTACTGAAACAGTAGCAATTATTCAATATAACACAGCAACAGAACACTAATGAAAAATTGATCAGTAAAACCAGTCAACAATTAATGCATCAAAAAGTATTACAATTTTAAAAACAGATGAAAATACTGCTACAAGACACGAAATGATGAAGGCCAAATAATGTTGTGGAAAAGGGACAGTGAAAAAGGGCTGGAGCACTTCTGATGATCCTGCAAAAACGACAAGCAAATCAATCACTGGAGTAAAAACTAATCATGCCTCAAATTATTTCATTCATTCAGAAACCAAACACCGCACTGCTGTTTTATATATATAAAACACAGTTTTTTATCGTTTTTGTTGGCAAAATACAGATTGTTGTCTATTTACAATTACACTAACGTTAATGGGGAAAAGATCAGTCAAGTCAACACTAGTCAAGTGTCCACACAGGTATGTAAAAAATAAAGTCTCATCTTAACTTAATGTCTGACTCTGTATAGCATGAATATATGATTCCATGACCACACTAGCGCTTTCACGAATTTAAGAGGGGTGAACACAGTTCATTCTGACCTTAAGAGGCTACATATTAAAAATAAATAAATAAATAAATAAATAAAATAATTAATTTAACGTGACTAATGTTAATCAAGTACTTTTAAGCTTTTAACATGTGAAAATCTACTTCTAACTTACAGACAAGATTACGTTAGAGAACATGAAAGCCATGGGTGATTTAAAAAAAAATAATGCTAATGATAAGTTACTGACATTTGGTTCGCATAAAACAAAGTAATCACTAAGCATTCATTTTTGGCAAAATCTGCCGAAAGGCACAGCAACACGATCAAATGTGTTAAAGTTGAGCAGAGAACTGAAGAGTAGTCAAGCAGTCTCCTTCATGAAATGTTTGTGATAATATTTTGCGGTCAATTCGTATTACTGTATTTCAATATGTCAGTGAGACAAATAAATATTATTACACCTCTCCAGTGACATTTCCTCAAATTAAATCATCAAGACGTTACTGTGCACAGCATCAGTAAAACGTTAAGAATAATTTAAATACCAAATTTTAAAAGTCACTGCTGATTACAAACTAACATTAAAGATAGGCTTACAGAAATCCTGAATGCATGATAATATGAAGATTTATTACTCACTGATGTCGAAGCACTTCGTCAGAGATGTAGACAGGACAGAATATGTGCCATCAAATGAGCTCTTGTGCAGTCTTTGTTGGACATCAAGGTAGTATGTTCACCCACACTGTAAAAAAAAAAATCTGTTATTTTACATGTTTTTTTCCCAGAAGCTAGGGTAATAGAGTCATTTGGTTAAGTGGTTTAAAATAATTTTATTTATTAAATACTTGCTTACCCATATATAGATGTAAAAGTAACCAAAATAAATAATTTATTAAAATGTGAGGGATACTAAGCATGTTTGGTCTACAGAGAGAAGTAAACATTTACTTTAAGCATTGATCCTAATGAATCTATTTCTGAACTACATCCAACCTCACCTCTGAAACAGCATTTTTGAGCATTTAGATCAGGGGTGCTCAACCCTGTTCCTGGAGATCTACCTTTCCGCAGAGCTTACCTGCAACCTTGATCAAGAACACCTGTCTTTATTTACCAAGTGCTCCTTCAGATACTATTTAGTTTGTTTAGTTGCGTTTGATCAGGGTTGGAGCTAAACTCTGCAGAAAGGTCGATCTCCAGGAACAGGGTTGAGCACCAATGTTTAAGACAATAAAAAATAAGACATCTAGATGATATTTTTTATTCAATCATTTGTGAAATTTAAATGACTTATATTCAGTATATACATAACATAAAATTAGAATAAGAATAAAAAAAATAATACTCTATGCCAAATAAAATACTTCAGATCTAAATAAAGCAGGTGTTTTTACCTAAAGGTTCCTTTCCTCCAGTTAGTTTAGTTGCAGATCCCTCCACATCTGTGCTTTATTTGGTTCTTGACTTAAGAGTAACTGGTGTCACATTCCAGGTCCATCACAATCTGAGCTAGAAAGACAATATGGCAAAAGACAAGACACATATAAATAAGTCTCAGAATAAAATATTTAAAAGGATAGTTTACTTTTCTGCCACCATTACTACATGTGTTTTAAATCCATTTAAATTTCTGTTGAACACTAAAGCAGATATTTTGAAGAATGTTAGAAACCAGAAAATATTGACATCCATATTTGAACAAAATTTCTTTAAAAAAATATATGAGTTTGTGTTCAATGGAACAAAAAAAAATCTAACTATTTTGAAACAAGTGGAGGATGCCAAAGATGCCATTATTTTCATTTTTGGGTGAACTGTCCCTTCAATTCAAGTGTCACGCATTACTCATAAAAACTGATGTATCGCTTGAGGAAAACTAAATCAAGTACCTCCTGTGAGCAAGCAGAATCATTATGCCATTGTATTCAGCCAACTGACCCAGCCGAGGCTCGAACCAGCAACCTTCTTGCTGTGAGGCGACAGCACTAGCTACTGTGCCACTGCGTCGCTACTGGAAGAAGAAGAAAAAGAGGTTGTACATGAAACTCCTCACAACAAATCTGTGAACAACTTGACATTTCAAAATCTAATCAAAATGAGGAAGACATCAACATTACCTTGAATAATCAAGTGAGGAGAGATTGGTAGCATCAGTTTTTCAGCATCAATTTCTGTAGTTGCAAAAAAGATAAATATAATAAGAGTAAAATAAGACTTAACATTTAATAATCTAAATCTATGGTACAACCATACAAATCTGTATGGGGTTCAAATAAATTTGTATACAAATCATTCCCTACACCTGAACACCAAAAATAAAATGTACAATTAATGACACAATAACGTTATACAATAAGCTCATTAACCAGTGAGAAATAGACAATTAATATGTATTATGTTAATATTAACGTTAGCTTAAAAGACATCAACTGAATTTTATTATCAGCTCAATTTAATAAAACAGACTTGTTTCATTGTGAGTTTAGTTTGAATAACTAACTTACAGTTTACAAATTTAACCATAATGATAACTTGGTCATAATGACCACATGAAGACCAGAGCTTACCTTAACGTTAAACGTTTAACTTTTCATGGTGACTTTGCCTTCATCTCAGTGTTGTGCTGAAATAGAGAATTCATTAATGCAGATAACCCAAAGTAAAAGTTACGTTTTTTTTCAGGAAACTTAACGTTACTATGGTCAAAAACTCACTCAAGATAAACTCACTGTAATTACCTTATCTAATACCTCGCAAACACTACAAACACGGTCTGGCGTCGAATAACGTGACATAAGTACCTAACGTTAACTTACAGTACAACTAAAGTAACTTGGTTAATTATTTTAAATTACACACACACACTACACGGAAATAAACACAAAACAATCCTTTAACGAACAGAATTTGACTTTTAAACACTTACCGAGGATGAATTCACTGGAAGAAAAGGCGACAGGTGGATTTCAAATTAGAAGAGCCGTTGCTTGCCTGGTCAAATCGAGTCGGCTCGGCTTTATGAATCGGCTCCTTAGAACAGTAAAGAGTCGAATCCGCCTAAAACCGATTCCTTTTTGTATATTATTGTAAGACACAACAATGAATCATTACTATTTCGTTATACTGCTCGGCCACACACATTTATACACATATTGCTGAATGTGCTTGTGAACACGTGTGATAAAATAATTCCCGAGCAAACGGTTCAATCCGATTCGGTGTCGTTTGTGTGCTGAACCGAACCAGTGCAAACGTGATATTGATAAAATAGTAATATTGTTTTTTCTTCTCACTTTACCAGCAAAAATATTACATATATCTGACTTTAACAATAAGAATAAGGTTCGCTTGAAGTGTTTTGAGAATTAATATTTTTTTCTCCCAGAGTTCATTTCACACCAACAAGCAAATATAATGGCGGATGAGAAAAGCCAGATCATATCATAAATATTGCGTTTAATATGTCACGAAATGAAGTTTTAACAGTTTTTCATGCGAGAATGTAGTTCTTCCAAACTCAAATCTGTGGTTTGTTTTTAGATATCATGTCTAATTTTAAGTGTGCTTTGCCGATAGGGGAGATTCTGACCTCCAGGGGTTGACGGCGCTCCATCACTCATGTATCCGGCAAACCTCATGCTTTAATCGGCCTAGACATTATTGAGAC